GATATTTACGTAAATTGGTAAGATCAAACCTATTTCAAAAGTTGAAAATGTCAATTATTGGTAATATTAAACCTATTCAAAATTTTAAAATGTCAATTCAAATGAATTTAATAATTAACTTGAAACAAAATTAAACCTATTGAAAATAAAACATGTTATCATTGGATACTCATAAACATAAACAAATCTGATATGTTTTTACGCAAGATCAAACAAAGAAACAAAACTCATAATACTTACAAACCATGACTAAAAGTAATTTAAAAAAAATATGTCCATCTTCTTCCTTACCACCTTCATCTAGTATTTGTGCTCTATCAAAACCCTAACAATTTGAATTCTGCTAATTTTCTTGGAAACCCAATGAACTCTTTAAGTATTTCAAAGTACTAACATATTGAACTTACATACACCCTAAAATTTTGGAACCAAATAAACTTCAAATATGGAGCCATTCTTATACACGTGATTAGGGTGGTTGTGATGGATAGAGTTTCTTGTTTCTTTCTTTTTTTTTTTTAAAAAAAAAAAATTATAAAAGCCCCCCATATTTTTAGATATGTAGGGGCATAATTTCACAACTAAAAGTTTGCGTGACCGTGAAGACCAAAGAGGAAGAATACCATGTCGCTGGTTAACTCGTCATCGAGATCGATGGGGGTCGTATTAGCCCATGAGGGCGTTGTTAGTCTAGTTGCTTCTGTTTGACCAAGTTTTAAATGCTAGAGGGCTTGAGTATAAAGTGGACCATTACAGGTTAGACACAACTGATCAGCGCTAATGTCGCCTCCATGATGATCCCATGGCAAGCGTAAACTAGTTGCAATGTATATCTGGGTAGGATGGTCTCGTGGTTCCAGTGGGAACCTAGGGACGCCGTACAAGAAAGGAAGAGTATTGAAGTCGAGTCCGTGAAAAGTGGTATCAGAGTCTCATTTAAGCAAGTGACATACATTGAGTCAGTTGCGCACTTTCGTGTGGTCTGTAGAGGCAGACTAGTGGTTGGGATGCCTAGAGGGCTGACTCGCCGATAACTGCTCCACCTCCTCGTGTAAGTGTAAGAGTAGATTGGGGGGGGGGGGGGCATGCCGAGGACTCTGGCCCTATGCACATGCGGTTGGGATCAAGAAGTGCGGTACACAACTGTACATGATGATGATCGAGATTGGAAGGGACTAGTTTTTCTCATATCGCACGAGGACGTGCTATATTTTGGCGATGGGAGAATGTCACGACTAAAAGTTGGCGTGGCCGTGAAGACCAAATAGTAAGAAGACCGTGCCGCTGGTTAGCTTACCATCGAGATATATAGGGGTCATATTAGCTTGTGAAGGCATTGTTAGTCTAGTCGCTTCCGTCTGGCTGAGTCTTCAATGCTAGAGGGCTTGACTGTGAAAGGGACCGTTGCGGGTTAGACACAACTGGTATGAGGCTAATGTCGCCTCCCTGATGATCCCTTGGCAGGGCAAAACCAGTTGGCATGTGTATCTGGATAGGATGGTCTCATGGTTCTAGCGGGAACCTCGAGACGTCACGCGGGCAAGCAATAGTGCCGAAGTAGAGTCCATGATAATAAACTTCCTTTTTATGGGTTAAAAATGTTCTTTATCAAAAAGATGAAGGGATAACCCGGTTACCCGTTGCTTAGTTATTAAATGAGGTGCTAGGTCATTACTAACTCATACTTACGCCTAAAAATCTCTCAACCTGAGATGCCTTATGATTATCTCTAAATTGTCGGAAACCTAGGCTCGCCTATCTTCGAGTTTTGGGTTTATCTTACAAGTGCATGTTCAAGTTAGTTATGATATGAGACTTTGGGGTTGCTAAATTGAGTTTGTTTTCCTGATTTGCTAAGAATGAGTTCGATCTTGAATTGCTATATGGTAACTTTCATTACTAGAGAATGAAACCAAGCATAGCGAGTAATATATCTTTTCGTACATGTTTCTAAGTTCTAGGGATGAACACATACATGACCTTGAAAAAATCAAACTTGGAAATCAGATATTCAAGAAATCGAATCTTAAAAACATGAACTTAGAACCCAAGAAATCTATACCTGAAATATGAAAAGTTAAACGTTCAAGAAATTTGGATCTTCAAAACACATACCTGAAAGCTAAACCCAAAACTCAAAGAAATCCAAAATATGAACCTATAACTTGAAAAATCTAGAAAGATGACCCTAGGAAGTTGATTTTGGATATTATTAATTATGAGTGTTCTTGAACATGTAAAAATATTTAGGTTGTTCTTATTCCAGTTTATTCCTTCCATTGTTCAAACTTTTCTTCAACCCTTGACCCACAGAAGAAGCAAGGGCTTTTACTAAAATATTGAAAAAATACATCATGCGGTGAGTAGAAAGGCACATCAGGTAACATGTGGCCTCCATAGTGCCACATAGACATGACTTGACGATGGAAACAAGTTAAAACAAGTCTAAGTTCCTAATGTGCTGGTTAGAAGGGACTTAATGCCTTTAGAATGTCAAAAAAACATAAGCAAGGACGTAGCCAATATAGGGTAAGAGTGGGCATTAGCCCACTCACACAAAATTAAAGTTACATATATATATATATATATATATATATATATATATATATATATATATATATATATACACATGCGAAATAAAATGAATTAGGGTTGTGATATGACATATTACATTCAAAACTTGAAATTAATAGAAGAGAATATATTGTTGTGTAAATCAATTAGACTCAATTTTAGATTATTTTAATGATATAAGATAACATTGTGTGCAACTTAAATAAACAATTTAGTTAATAATATATATATATATATATATATATATATATATATATATATATATATATATATATATTAAATATATATATATATATATATTATACTTACATTTTGTTATCGTTTGAAAATTTTTTATTAGTCGTTCATATTTTGTATATTATTTGGCCTACCCTAAAACAAAATCCTAGCTACACCACTGAACATAAGGACCTTTTAAGTTAAAACTATATATATATATATATATATATATATATATATATATATATATATATATATATATATATATATATATATATATATACAATCAAAACTTGAAATTAATAGAATAGAATATATTATATTATTGAAATTAATAGAAGAGAATATATTGTGTAAATCGATTAAACTCCATTTAGATTATTTTAATGATGTAAGATAACGACGTGTGCAACTTAAACAAACAATTTAGTTAATAATGTATATATACTTATATTTTGTTATCGTTTGAAAAATTTTATCACTCGTTCATATTTTGTATATTATTTAGCCTATCCTAAAACAAAATCCTAGCTACGCCAACATAAGGACCTTCTAAATTAAAACTATATATATATATATATATATATATATATATATATATATATATATTACAATGCCTAACATGGTGACACATGGTAAAAGAACTACTCTTTTATTAGTATAAGGAGAGGAGATAAGGATATATATATATATATATATATATATATATATATATATATATATATATATCCTTATCTCCTCTTCTTATACTAATAAAAGAGTAGTTCTTTTGTCATGTGTCACCATGTTAAACATTGTAATTAATATCATGACACTTGTCAATCTATTGGCACTTGTAATTAATATCATGATACTTGTCAATCTATTAATTCTCCATTTCAAATTTCAAATTTCAAAATTTAAATTACATTTTAATTACATTAAATTAATAATATTAAAATAAAAATAAAATAGAATTTATACCAATTATAATAAAATAAAATTTATACAAATTATAAGATGAAATATTTTACGTATTTATTTGAATCAACGATTATAATTTTATATATAATTAAAAAAATATCTTTTAATTAATAAGTTATTTAAAATTATTAATTAATAGTTTTGAGTTTTTACTTAGAAAGTTTAATTAATTTTTTAATCGTGGTTCTCACGGGTTATAAACTAGTATGTGTGTGTATATATATATATATATATATATATATATATATATATATATATATATATATATATATATATATATATATATATATGTGAAAAAAGGGTGTGGGGTAGGAATTGACAAACTCTGAAAGTATAGTGACTTAATATGAAAATCAGTGGAATCAGGTTTCGTACAATATTTGCAGTATTCTTTTCGGTATATATCATCATCCGCACAAAACCTTAAGACGTACTCTATTCCAATACAAACACTATGCCTTAAAAATACGAGATCCTATACCATGCATCCAATACATAGGAAATCAGAAAAAGAAATCTGATATATATACGTGAGGAATACGTAAGAAAAAGAGAGAGTTCGTGAGTGAGGTTGAAGACCTGCGACTAGGCTTCCGGTTCGTGGTATGTTACGTGGCTTGGATCAAACGAGAGCAGAAGGATCAGACACGTATACACCCTGGTAAGTTTTGTCCTCATTCACGTTTCCTTCTGGATCTGATTACATATGGTCTCCACGACTTCTTTTTTCCCTGTTCGTTATAGATTTCTTGTGCGTGATTAAAGCTCCAGAAACATATAGTCCAAGTATGTGTTTGTGTATTTAGGGTACCTACTTTTGGGTCAAATTGTTGAGACCTTTTCTTTCTTTCTTTCTTTCATTCCCTCCTGATTCGTGAAAGTTAGCTGCCAATTGACCTTCGTATTAGCCATGAGAACCATGACATGTGTTACCAAAGTATTGCTGTCCAATTTCCATTAATCACTCTTCGTGTGTTCTTGTTTTATAATTACATAAATATCAAATTTAAACAGAAGTTTGTAAAATAATATATTTCATAATCATATAAATATTCAATTACATAATATTAGATGTGTAGATGCAGGCCCTTTGTAATACAATTGCTTTATTGAAATTTGAACATATATATATATATATATATATATATATATATATATCACTACTAGAAACAAGGGTTTTTGCGACAGATAAATCCATCGCTATTCCGTCACTAAAGGTCTTTTGCGACGGATCTGTGACAGACTTACTCCATAGCCAAATATAACGTGGCTAATGACTTAGCTAGAGATGTAGCGACGGACTTGTTTTTCCTGGCGACGACTTTAGCAACGGAATATCCATCGGAAATTGGTCCCTTACCACCTTTATTCAGCACATCAGCAACAAAAATATTTCGTCGCTAATCCCTTGCAAACCTCTATATATGTCTTCTCATATGTCCGTCGCTAATCACTAGCAAATTTTAGATGTGATTTTTTTTTTTTGTTTCCGTAGCTGATCCCTCGCAAATATATAGTATTAATTTTTTTTTATTACAAATCTAAAACAAAAATATACTAAAAACATCAAAAAATTATACAATCCCAAATTAAACAATAACAAATTAATATCAAATGAATCATATAACTATACAATCCAAAATCAAACACTAATATTAAAATACTAAAATCAAATATTAAAATTTAATAAAACATCCAAAAACATCAAATATCAATGTTTACCAAAATGATCAAAATGATCAAATATCAAAGTTTAATATTTATTGATTTTTATTTCGAAGTATAATGTACCATAATCTCAATTTTGTCTCATATTTTGAGTTTCCACATACATATTCCCTATTGCTTCATATCTTGCATTGCATCCGAATGGACCATAATGGAATTGGATTCCGATTCCCGTTAAACCCCATGGAATTAGGCGAACCAAGTTCTACTTACTTTTTCCTGCAATGGAATAAGACATGGTATTTGTTGGAAACATGATTTTCTGTTGATGAAGGACATTATTGTCTACTCATTTGAAGCTAAACTAAATACAAGAATAGAATGGAATTGAATTCCGATTCCGACCAAAAAATATATAAAAAAAAACATGTTGGTGAAAGAAAATACCATGTTTGCATATTAGTCTTCAGAAATTTGTCTTTTGGGATTTGATCTTCGAACATTTGTATAGACCATTATGGACCACTGAGAAGGTCTTAACTAATCATAACTGTTGGACACAAGAAACCACAAGAAAAAGTGCAAGACTGATCTTAACTGCTGGACACGACATGTCTCAAATGACAATATAGCCCTCCTTAAACTCCTTTTTGCCAATAAATTCCAGAACCCTAACAATCTGAATAAAAAAACAAAGTTCGGCATAAATCCCTATTAATATTCCTATGTATAATCAATCAGTTATTCATCCCTAATACTGACCTGGTCTTCTTTTGGTGCACTTATTTGCACATTAAGACAACGAGAATGAACAGCTTCAGTAACCTTTGATGAGCTGTCACAGCATAGGATCAAACGAAAGATATTTAAAATTAAAACACTCATCAAAACAATAACAAATAACATAAACTAACCAATAAATATACTTTCTGAAAGCTGGATTCTTGCTTGTGCAGTTGCAGCATGAGAATTCTCAATATTTGACCCGATATCATCTGAAAAAACAAACATCATGTAATTTACTTTCCTTAATATAGCATTGCACTTATGTTTTTTTTCATTTCAATAATGTAATTTCAAGCTACTTACCAATCATGGCTCCTTGTTCATGAACCAAAACAGCAAGATCTTTAAAAATCTTATTTACTTCCCCAATTTGATTATGTATTTCTCTTTCCTCAATAATCGCCTCATTAAACGCAATCTCATTGTCCAATAACAATACCTCCTATCTACACAACACAAAGAAAGAACTTATAAAAATAATGATGACATGGCCATAAAAAGGTAAAAACGGAAGAACAACACCCACCTTCTAGATTCCACAAGAAGTGCACGTTGTTATGAGTTTTTGTCTGAGCTTATATCGATTTCACTGGCTGCGTAACTACAAATACAACCATAACAATCTGTTAATTCACAAAGTTAATTCAATTTAGTTCCATATGTTAATTGGACATTTACCTTGAAGGAAGAACAGCTTGAAGAACAAAAGGAGTGTAAGCTGTCTATAATCTTTTTGCTAGTCTGCATTCCAACAAAAAAAAAATCAATCACCATGAAAGGAGTGTAAATCTAATTTTGATGTGTTTGTGTATGAGAATTGAGAAGGAATCAATTACTTACACTAACTTCAGCACGATGATTTGTTTCACTAGCTTGTTTGAGTTTCTCTGAAGTTTTCAATTGTTCTTCTTAGAGAGTGTTGTGCTTCTCTTGAAAGTTTATCAACCTCATTGAGTACTAATACTGATACAGCATATATAAAACACCATGAGCACATTGGTAGGACGGATGTCACACACACACAGATATATATATATATATATATATATATATATATATATATATATATATATATATATATATATATAAGTATACTTGTTTTCCCTTCTTTCCTTTAACGTCAATTGGTCTGTTCTTTGCCATTTCTATAATGATTTCTTGAACAATGTACTAATCCTGGAACCCAGCATCACTTGGGTTTAGCTCCACTGGTGGGTGCTTCAAAGAGTCGTCAGTTCCAAACCAACAGTTCTACTTCCAGCCTGAAATAGAGCCATGTTTCAATCTTGTTAGGTACCTCTGCATAATCAGGAATAACAAATAATTCAGAAGGGAGATACTTACATCAACTTTCCAGGTTTTTTTCTCCACTTGCACCTGTAAATTAACCAAATTCAGGAAGAACAGATAGTTTCATCATCCGATTAGAGGGACATAAAATTAAACAAAAGAGAGAAGAGACAGAATTTTAGAAAGACCTTCTCGACACTAGCCCTAAACATCTTCCTGAGAAGGGCCATAACTAGGGTTTTCTTCAATTCCCCAAACATCTGCCTGAGAAGGGCCATGTTTGCAATTAGCCCCAAACATCTGTAATTTTATCGCAATTCCCAGACTCTAGGTTTTTATCCAAGCAATTATAAGAGATGTTGGTGATGCCACCCTTGAACCACCGAGTAGATAGATAGGAATAGCCAATAGCTGATTAGGTGTGTGATACAAGATGAAAGAGGCAGATGTCAGAAAGATAAAAAGTAATGTTTACCTCAATTTTGATGTTCCCATTTGTAACATCAAGATTCTCTGAGTAAACCTATTGACCCCATTTCTCTTTCCAATAGAATTCTGATGCGCAATATCATACCAAAAGCCACCAGGATCTTCAATTGATCTGTTGTATATCTCCAACTCCAAGTACTGAAATGGTGCCCCAAATCATCGATTATATGATGAAAATGTTTATTAAAAAGAACAGCGAATAGGTCATGTTTCCTTCTTGTGATTAAAGTTCACTTCGTATTTTGAAAATCCAAAGTAGAAGACTTCAAATTAAAATAGGAATTTTGTCCTCTTTGTTCTTGTTAGGTCAAATTATATACTCATTGAAATAACAGATCTATATGTTTATGTAGCCATCAATCCTTTCTCAATAATCAAAACTAGAGTATCGCCTTTTGCAAGAACTTATGTATTTGACTCGACGCTGACTCTATTTTTCCGACGAAATGAAACAACATATGCAGATGATCTGTTATTGATCAATTTTGAGGATGATACCTTTTGAGGAGAGGGTACGTGTACCTGTTGGGAGAAATCCTGACCGGGAAATACGAGATCGTCCTCCTCGGATGCAAGAGACTCACCGAGTATCACGACATTCAGCCACCCGACGGGCGAGTCGCCATTGACTCCAAATGACGGAGGTGATTAGTTGTGGTCAGATTTTTCCTAGTTGCCATGATCGGAAACGTGACTCGAACGGATTTGAGAGTCAGCTCTCCTTCTTCTTCGGTTGGGGCTGAGCAGATATACTAAGAGATCTGAAGAGACAATAGAGGATTGAACGGCGCTGGCGGGGAAACGATGAGTCAATGAGGAATGGAGACGAATCGATAGGGAAGCCAAAGAGGATGTGAGAGGGATTTGAGTCAACATAATGCCAATTAGGGCTTTGGGAAAGATATATGTTGGAATGAAAATAAACCAAGGAACTAGAAAAGAAGAAAAGTGGGGAATGAAAAAACGTGGCGTCAATTTTCTGCGAGCGTTTTTAGCAATCCATCGTTATTCCCTTGCTAAAGGTTTTAATCTGAGACAGATTAACGATGAAATGTTTTTGTCTAGATATTATTAGCAGTCAGTCGATGATCCCTCGTTAATGCCTCTCTAAAGTATGTTAGTCAAAATTTTCATTCATTCCATCGTTGATCCCTTGGTAAGTCGTCGTTGATTAGCTACAGATAGAATCCGTAGCTGATTCTGTTGCTAAAGGTCAAGTTTCTAGTAGTGTGTATATATATATATATATATATATATATATATATATATATATATATATATATATATATATATACTATAACTTTTTCATTGCGTATACATATCATAGTTAATTTTCATGCACATCCGTCCATCATGTTCAAATCAATCCCTTGGTTGTGTTCTAACTTGATTTATAAATTAGGGTTAGTTTGCTTCAACTTGGATTTATGGCCGTTCATAATTGAGTTGTTCTAAGTTATATTATTCTTCTTTATTTTATCTAATTTTCTTTTAACACTACTGAAAATACATGTTCTGAATTATCACTCATGGGTTGACAATTAGAGTTTTCCTATATATAAATAATCTTCTTCAACTAATTCTAAAACAATATTGCATTTATCTTAGATCTTTAACAATCTTCTTCCTGGTTTCCACAGAAAATGAAGATTCAAATTCAAGTGTTCCTCGTGATTACAATCTTGCTGGTAGCATCTGTACAAAAGTCAAGTTGTAGGAACATCGTTAATCACTCGATTGATGGAAAAAGAAAAAGAGTCAACTTTGTTTTAAGATTTAAACGTCAACCCGAAGCTCACAAATGGAGAAAATCAACTACATTACGCTGTATCACTTCATCTAGTTTCTTGTGTATTAGACCCCGCCACTTCATAACTGAGTATGGTATAGTTCCTTGTGGACCAAACCCACTTCATAACTTAGCATGATCTATAAAGTCTTTTTTGTTTTCAAATCTATACACATATTGCCAAATGATATTGCCGCTATATGAACATCTAATTATTAATTGAGTTGTAAGGGTCATGATTCATTGAGATGAATAATACGTGTTAGCAAATCTTCTTTAATATATATTAAAATAGAAACCTCATGATATCAATTGGGACCCTTGATTATATTTCAATGTAACATCCCAAACATCGAGATCTTTTTTTTTTTTATTATATTACTTGTAAAATTGTTTAAGAAAACATTACTAATATCATAAGAATACGTAACCATAGTTACGTGTTACAAAATCATCTAATCAAATAGTAATAATATCAGAGTACAATCACAAAAATCTCAAATGCGGAATCATATGTGTGCTATACGCTGCTACGTCGCCGACTCCTTCCCCTTAAATGAAAGACCCTGAACTTCCTAAACTTTCGTATTCCTGCTATGTACAAGATTTCATAGTCAAAATCTTTGACTAGCTCCATGGCTCGTTATTGTCTCATATTCAAAGCTTTCTGACTGAATATGTACTTGAGACTTTTGTGGTCGGTAAACAATTGACATTTTGTACCAAGAAGATAATGTCTCCAAAGTTTTAGGGCAAATACCACTGCAACGAGTTCGAGATCATGGGTGGGATAATTCTTTTCATACTATTTCAGTTGTCTTGAGGCATAAGCTATTACTTTACCATGTTGCATCAACACACAACCAAGTCCTAACCTAGAAGCATCTCTATACACGGAGAAATCATTATTACCTTCTGGAAGTGATAAGATTAGAGCATGAGTCAAAAGATCTTTTAGAGTCAAGAAAACTTTTTCTTGGGCTTCACCCCATTCGAACTTTGCTTCCTTACGTGTAAGACTTGTGAGAGGTACAATTATACACGAAAAGTATTTAATGAATCTACGGTAATAACCCGCGAGACCCAAGAAACTGCGAATTTCAGAAGCATTACGAGGCGCATCCCAATTCTGAATGACTTCGATTTTGGTAGGATCTACGGATACACCATCACTAGAAATCACATGGCCGAGAAATTGAACTTGGCGAAGCCAAAATTCACATTTCGAGAATTTAACATATAGTTTCTCCTTTCGAAGAAGTTCTAATACCGCACGAATATGAACAACATGATCAACTTCATACTTAGAATAGATTTATCGAGCATTGGGCATCATAACCGATTCATCATATCCATGAATACGGCAGGGGCAATTGTCAAACCGAATGGCATAACAAGGAATTCATAAGGCCCATATCGAGTACGAAAGGCAGTCTTCGGTACATTCTGCTCGTGTACTTTCAACTGATGATAGCCAGATCTCAAATCAATCTTTGAGAAATAACTAACTCCCTAAAGTTGATCAAACAAATCATCGATGTAAGGTAGTGGGTACTTGTTCTTGATAGTCACCTTATTTAGCTCACAGTAATCAATGCACATTCGCATCGATCCATCGTTCTTGTTGACAAATAATACTGGAACGCCCCAAGGAGGGGTACTCGGTCGAATGAAGCCTTTGAATTCCTGCATTTGGATCATCATTTCTTTCATTTCAGCTGGCGCAAGATGATAAGGAGTCTTTTCAGTTGGAGCGGCACCAGGCACAAGGTCAATTTAGAATTCTACTTGCCTGTCAGGAGGAAGTCTAGACAACTCTTTGGGAAAAACATCAGGATATTTGTTAGCAATGAGAATATCATTTATAGTTTTCTTCTCCTCTCTTGAGATATCAACTGTGTAGGCCAGATAGATAGGGCACCGCTTTGATATAAATTAACGAGCTTTTAGTAAATAGATTATTTTTAAGATTTTGAGTCTCTCTTCACCATAGACATAAATAGGATTCTCCCCTTCAATAGGAATACGCACTATCTTTTCAGAGCATAGGAGTTCTGTGTGGTTCTTTGACAACCAATCCATGCTGAGAATAATATCAAAATTGGGCAAGGAGATAGGGATTAGGTTAGCAAGAAAGTTATAGCCTTCAATTTCTATGATACATTCCCTATATATTTTATCAGCAAGTAATGATATACTTTCCGCAGTATCTACGTGAAATAGTTGCACGAGTGCATAGCAAGCAGTTTGAAAAGAATGCGCAAATTAATGAGACACAAATGAATCTGAGGCACCAGAGTCAAATAAGATGTGAGCAGGTCTAAAGTTGACAAGAAATGTACCCGTCACAACATTCGGGTCCTTGCGTGCCTTTTCTCTGGTAATCTGGAATGCACGATCCTTAGCTTTTGGCACCTCCTCCTTTTTAGTTGGAGTATTCTTTGGTTGTTGAACGGAAGCTTGACTTCCTGTCACTTGGCTAGTAAGAGTAGGGCAGAAACACTTCTTGTGGCCAGTAATACCACATGCGTAGCAAGTAACATCCTTCCTTGGGCAAGCTGGCTTTATATGACCCGTTTCTCCACACCCATAACAAACAATGGATTCTTTTTCTATTTTACATTGGCCTAGATGATTCCTTCCACAAACGCGACATGGAGGCGATTGAATAGAAAAATATTGTGATCTACCTTGACCATGAAAAGCACTCTAATATTGCACTTGCTTGTTAGGTTCAGATTGAAGAGATTGAGCTGGTGAAATAGAGGGAATAGAAACAGTTCTTTCAGTACGTGGATGCTTTGGAATAGTAAAAGTGGCACCACGTATCTCCAAGTCATGTTCGCGTCCTCGGGCATACTCAACAGCTTTATCAAATGCCAAAACATCCCGATTGGCTACAAAATCGTGGATTTCATATCGTAGTCCCTCCATGAATAACTGTATTTTATTGTCTTTAGTTGGAATATACTTTATATTAAACCTTGCTCTTTGATTAAATTGAGTTTCATACTCATTCACAGTCATTCCTCCCTGTTTAAGCTCGAGGAATTCCTTCTCCAACCTCCTCCTCATGTCTAGAGGACAATACATCCCTAGAAAACGAGTTTTGAACATCTCCCAGGATATATTCTCCTGGTCATACTCGTTGAGAGCTTCATATGTTGCTTCCCACCAGACCAATGCTTTTCCGATGAGCATTGCAGAAGCATAATTAGCTTTATATTCATTATCCACATGAGAAATACGAAACACTTTCTCTGTGTTGTGAATCCAGGTAAGAACAACAATGAGACTAAGAACACCAGAAAACTCTGTAGCACCACTACTCTTGAAAGTTTTGAATGAAGGATGTCTCGTGTCTCCTTTTAAAGGTTCTCCGGTGACTTTCTCTTTTCCTTTATCACCATTCTTTTTGTGTTCTTTGAGAGTTTGTCTAATAACGCCAGTAAATAATTCTCACCTTAAGAGGGGATACTGGATTGTCTCCTTTATCAAGACGAGGATCTCCACCCACCTCTAGCGTATGGCTACCTTCCTGTTCAACCATTCTTTTGAAATTTTTGAAGCAATGTAGTATTTAGAATATTTAGGATTTATTATTACCTAATACTTTACTTAAATCTTTCCTATGGTTTGTATCCATATATTTCTAATGAATCTGTTCATATATTGAACTTCTGATAGTTTAAGTCTAAATACCAATCCATGGAATTTAGTTCACTTAAACTATTGCTCTGATACCATGATTGAAAGACCATGAACTTTCTAAACTTTCGTATTTCTGAAAGACCCAAACTTTCACACTTCACAATATAGTTACTCCAAAACATGCTACATGCATGTTCATAAATAATATTTTACATTGATAATTTCGATTACAAACGACTGGATACAAACCGACTATTTCAAAATTTTAACATATTACATAACTACCCAGGATATTCAAGTTTTATACAAACATGAAATACAAAATACAAGAGTTTCAAACTATTTAAATCATCCAACAGTATACAACTATATTTGTTGCTTATTACCTGCAGTTGTAAAACATTGAGAGGGGTTAGCGGTGACGCTTAGTGAGTTC